CGCCTTTGAATTCTAGATTAAGCAGAAGTATTTTCTTTGGGATGGATGGGATGGAACTTGTTCGGAAATCTTCTCAGGTTTGAGATGCTTGTCTATGAACCTGGGGGGGGGGGGAACCGTTTTCCATCAGGGTTTTTCAATGATTACGCAGTTCTTCAACCACTTCGTCGCTGCATATCTTCCAAATCTTCGAGGTAAAAGCGTATATTATGTTCCTCTTTCTGCTTAGGAGCACGAAGCTTTGAAAGTTGATAAATTATCCATTCCATGTAGGCTTTTTGTATATGGACCTTATCAGCATAAAAGTACCACAGAGCGGAGAGATAGATTTGACATCACAGAGAGTAAATGATTCAGCATTGAGAAGAAATATGCGAGATGTGAAAGGAACAGAGAGAAACACAAGATGAAGAATAGGAGAAGCACAACACGGAAGTTCTGTGCAAATAGTGACTTGAAGTTAAGGTGTACATAATTTCTCCACATAGAAATAACAAATTCCAAATAAACATTCCTTCACTAAGTCTTTTGTTGTCTACCGTCACATTTAGCTGTCCATCAGGCCGAAGTGCACTGAAGAGGGGGTGGTCCATCCTAATTTTATTTATTTAAACGCATAAAAAACTTGGTACAATATGGCACCAAGAAGGATGCGCCACACAATAATAATAAAACAACATAGATCAAAGAAAAAAAGAAGGAAAAGAAAAAAAATATAAGTAGAGAACGGATAAAGAACTTCATCTGAAAGGAAGACAGTCATGCTTAACAAGTTCAAACAGTCTGTCTGTTATCGACGTAGAACTTTGCACAAATGTGCGGAAATTCAAGTCGCCACACTCCGTGTAGCACGCGAAGCAAGAGAAGAAAGTATAAGAAAAGCATAATAGAAACAGTGAGCAGAGGGGTGAGACAAAGGAGTAATAACGAAGAACAAAACAGTTTCATTGGAGATCATAAGTCACAAGGAGTGGATGCATCTGCGCCACTGAGAAAGATTTTGAGCCATGTCACCAATTGTTTCCAACCATAGATTTTTACCGTCCCGAGGACCCCAGCCTGGAAGTCTACACCTTCCTACGTGGCTTAGACCAACTGTTGTGGATTTCATTGACTGGTGCCAAGTTTTTGTTTGACCGCCGCTAGCTTTTTTCCAGCCTGACCCTATATCCGCTAACATTGCTCGTCGAGGGAGGCGATGGCTTGGCATACGTAACACATGTCCTAACCATCTCAGTCTTTGTAGCTTCACGACTTCGTCGATTGATTTCCCCTGTTTACCTAGAACTCTACGCCTAACCTCAATGTTGCTCACCTTATTATGCCACTTTACACGGGAAATAGAACGCAGGCACCTATGATCAAAGACAGCTAGTCTTTTCATGTCTTCCACTCTCAGTGGCCAGGTCTCACTGACAACCATAAAGGAGGACGGAGCGGACTGATGAGCAGTACACCCGCCCTTTGGTCGATAGTCGAACATCTCGTCTACGCCAGAGTCGGCGTAAACTAACAAATGCGAAACGAGCCCTCTCTATTCGTGCTGAGATTTCGTCAGAGATCAACCCGTTGGTTTTGGCTGATGGTACTTCCCAAATAAGTGAAGCGGTCAACGTGCTCTACCACTTCACTTCCTATTTTTAAACTAGGCGTCGATGTAGTCCAGTCCTGTAACATCATCTTGCATTTGGCGGGAGCGAATCGCATGCCAAACATTCGTAGATTGCGGCTCAAGGTGTTTAGAAGACTCTGCATTTTGTCAGCGTCTTCGCCTAGAAGGACTATATCGTCTGCATATTCCAAGTCAACGAGATTATTCCCCGGTAGCAAGTCAATTCCTGAGTCGCTGAAGTCACCTAGGGTTAAGTCCATTAACACATCTATGATGAAGTTGAATAGAAAAGGAGATAATGGGCATCCTTGACGGACACCACTGGTCGTCATCAGTTCAGATGACAGCTCGCCGTAAGCCCTCACCTGGCTGTATGAGTACGAGTAGAGTGCCTTAATCAGTGCAATATATTTTCTCGGAATTCCCTTTACAGCCAAGCATCTCCAGAGAACTTCTCGATCGACAGAGTCGAATGCTGCCTTTAGGTCAAGAAATATGACGACTGTTGGACGCCGGTAGGAATGCCTATGTTCTAGAATCTGTCGGAGGGTGAAGATATGATCAATACACCCTCTTCCTGGTCTAAAGCCTGCCTGGCTCTCTCGTGTTTGTGCCTCCCGAGCACCACTCAGTCTACGCATGATTATTGAGCCTAAGACTTTAGATACTATATTAGTCAAGCTAATCCCTCTGTGATTATCACAGGAAGACTTGTCTCCCTTCTTGTATATGGGGATAATCAGTGACTTACACCAACCCGATGGGACTTCTTCTGATTCCCAGACGCTGCCTAGTACCTCAGTTAATGCAGACAGTAAGCTGTCTCCACCGTACTTAAATACCTCTGGAGTCATTCCATCAGGTCCCGCTGCTTTGCCTAGTTTCAGATTGGTGACAGCTTTAGTAACCTCAGTTAGGGACGGAGGACCTGTGTCTATATCCCATTCAGGGAGGTGTTGGATGCTCGGAAGGTTGAGCGTGGCTGTGGGCAAATTAAACTGCTCCTCATAATGCTCTTTCCAACGATCCAGTCGTCTATCCTGGGAGCTAATTATAGTGCCATTTTTTTCCGAGATTGTCTCACTGATGATTTGTCTTCTCCCACCCGTTTCCCTGATGAGTCCAAAGAGTTGCCTGGTGTTGCCTATCCTCGAAGCTTTCTCCATCTCTTTGGCTTTTGTCGCCCACCACTGTTCACGGTCCTTGCGGAGACTTTTCGTAAGTTTCCTCTTGTGCAGCTTTCGCTCCTCATTGAATTCGGAGCTCGCCGGAATAAGTCTTCTAGCATCTATCAGTTCGGATGAGGCGGTGGAGATCCAGTGGTTTTTACTCACCTTTGGGTTTACCTTATTCACAGCTTTTACAGCTGTATCTATGGCTGCCTGGATATTTTTCCAAGCTTCTTCAGGGTGAGCACAGCTGTCGAACACAGATATGTGTTTAGCTAGTTCTTCCTCAAATACGGATTTAGTTTCCTGATCGAGCTGGGGACGTGATGGTTTTACCGCCAGCTGTTTCCTACGTCCGTTCAGTCGTAAGCACACCCGAGCGCGGACCAGTGCATGGTCGGTATCTACGCACGTGTTCCAGAAGGAGCGACAATCTCCTACCGACCCACGCCAACGATAGCTTATTGCTATGTGGTCTATTTGTGTCCAGCGTTGGTTTGATGAAGGGGGTCTCCAAGTCAAACAGTGTCTCTCCTTGTGTTTGAAGTTAGTGCTTACAAGAAACAAATGATTATCAGAACAGAACTGTAGGAGACGGTCACCGTTGTCGGTTCGCTGGCACGGAACTCCATAGGTGCCACCGACATCCTTCTCAGATTGACACAATTTCCCTACTTGAGCGTTAAAGTCACCAGCTAGAACGACTATGTCTGAGCGTTTAGCCTTTCTCACCAAACTAGACAGCTTTTGGTAGAACTCATCCTTCGTTTCATCTGAACTGCAGTCAGTGGGGGCGTAGGCGGAGATTACGAAAAGGCATCGGCGAGTAGTGCAGTCCTTCCTCCTTTTTACTGATCCGTTCAGGCGGACAGCACACATTCGGCTATCTACCGGGATCCAGTCAAGCAATGTCTTTTCTGCCCTAGTACTCAAAGCTATCCCTACGCCAGCTAATCCTCGTGAACTAGCTGTGGCATCTCCTGACACCCTCAAGGTGAATTTTGCAGATTCAACCTGTTGGCCAGGTGGGGTTAGGTGAATAACCACACTTGGGTCTTGTATGCGTGTTTCTGAAACACAGCATACATCAATGGCTCGTGATGCCAGGGTCTTGGCTAGTGATGCTTGTTGTCCTATTTGGCAAAGTGTCCTAACATTAAGAGCTCCTATATGAAATTGGTGGCGCGGCTTTAAGTGGCTGTCGGTGGTGGCCGGGGATTGAATCCCGGACAATGTGCATGGTTGGCGAGCGTCCTAACCGCTATGCCACCGATGCTGCTTGCCAAAGTTTGTAAACAGTAATTTACGTCAATGCTTATATCCCCAATATTGGTCGTGAGAAAAGTGAGAAGGCTTTGCGTGGGTGGATACAGTTAACATATAGATGATCTGACATTCAAGAAACAGCCACAAAGAGATGCAAGGTTAACTTTCTGTGAGAAACAACCAATCAGAGGACTGTGTTTTTATGCTAACAATAATTATTTATTTATTTTTTTTTTATTTTTGATTACAGCTTGATTCCACACTATATTTTTGGTACAAGTATGGAATTTTCAGCGTGGATATCGGTAGCCCAAATTTTGCAGGCCAACCAAAGATATCAGGTGTGCGTCGGCGAGGGCTCGAACCCCGGACCATGTGCATGGTCGGCGAGAGTCCTAACCACTGTGCCACCGACGCACTATAATATGTACGTGAAAATCTATAAATATGTGTTGATTTCCTTAATAAAGGATCTGTTGCCTGGCCCTTGTCTTCTGTTGTTCCACTAAGAGTAACTAGGTGTTGTTTCAAGATGTACGGGTAATTGTAAACTCTTGGATCCAATTTCCACTGGATTGAAACGTTATAACGAATAATGTGTCATATGTGATGTAAAGTGAAGTTATTCTATACAAGTAAGACAATTTCATTTCTTACAAGATATCACCATGAGCTGACATTAGTTAGAGAACCATTGGAAAACCGGGGAGTACTGGACAGATGTTTCGTCCTAGTTTGGGAGTACTGAAGAGTCCTAAACTAGGACGAAACATCTGTCCAGTACTCCCCGGTTTTCCACTGGTTCTCTAACCAATGTCAGCTTATGGTGAAATTTTGTAACCAACTCCCTACAAACTAATAGTTGAATTTCATTTCTGTCTATTCACTTGAATCTATTTATGGTATTCAATTGTCATGCACTATTTAAGTTGATGCTGTCATCCATTCTTTAGAACTATTCATCGTTCACATTCACCAACAAATTCTTTGTATAATTCAAAGACCAATGCAACCTCGAAACCCCTGAAAGAAAGTCTTATCGATGGTGTCCATTTAATAGTTGATGATGATGATGGTGAAGAAGAAGAAATAGAAGTATTCACGAAAGGAACTGTTCAAACAACAAAGTTTATTCATCCCTTGGAAGATAATTTACAGCTTCAACCTCAAGAAGGTAATATAACTCACCAAAATGGAAGTAGTAATGCCAACATGAAAAAGCCATTGATGAACAGCAATTATGATGATAATGCTGACGGTCAGTATTCAAGTTCAATACTTCGGAAAGATTTCAAAGATGAAATAAGTACTCAGATTATCAAGTTTCCTGAATTATGTTCAGGTTTGAATACAAATCAAACGAATAAAAATTCACATGATAATATCATCGCTACGTAAGTTTTCTCTCCTCATTGCTGTATATGTCTATCTTTTTTCGACATAGAACTTTGCACAAATGTGCGGCAGTTCAAGTCGCCACACTCCATGTAGCACACGAAGCAATAGAAGAAAGTAAAAAATAAGTGCAAAACAGGGACAGCAAACAGAGATATGAGACATAAAAGAATAGTAACATGGAGGAACCATAGAGTTATATTAGATACTATAAATCTTAAGGAGTGGGTGCATCTGCGCCATTCATTGGGAACGATTTTGAGTCAGTCATATCAACAATTGCCTCCAGCCTTCATTGGTATTTACCAACCCGAGGACCCCAACCAGGAAGTTTGCACCTTCCTACGTGGCTTAAACTAACTGTTGTGGATTTCATTTGATGTTTTGGTTTGACCGCCGCTAGCTCTTTTCCAGCCTGACCTTATGTCAGTTAACATTGCTTATCGAGGAAGGCGATGACTAGGTATACGTAGCACATGTCCTAACCATGTCAGTCGATATAATTTCAAAGCCTCGTCTATTGATTTCCCCTGTTTACCTAGCACTCGACGCCTAACCTCAATATTTCTCACCTTATTATATCACTTCACACGGGGGCTCAGGCACGTATGATCGAAGACAGCTAGCTAATCTTTTCATGTCCTCCACTCTCAATGGCCAGGTCTCACAGCCATAAAGGGGGAGGGGGAAGGGGACCTGTCCTTGGCAAATGAGATATAACTACACATAAATCGCAACGATTAGTATTATTATTCGAGTTTCGAATAAAGCCTAGGGTTTCAGCAGCATACCTCCACTTCAATTGCTTTTCTCCCATCACTCTCGGCTGGCTCAACGACTACTCAAAAGCTTTCCTTTTCTCTTCTCATGATCTTCTTTATGTTACTTTTGGACGTTTAACTTGTCGATTCCCATTCGAGTTACACTGGACATCTGGGGTGCAATGTCACCGAAAGGTCTTCTCAGCATATATATTCAGTCCATCTCTGTATGTTTGTTGGGCTGTAGTTTACTGTTCGGTTTGCTATCAAAGTCCCCTTTTGCTTGTGCTTTCTTACGGGTCATCTGATCTTCAGTATGGAGCAGTGACAGCTGTTGACGAAAGCCATCAGCAGCCTGTTGGCAATGCTAATGGTGAAACGCAACAAGTTTCTGAACCATATAGAATCACCGAATCTAGTGTCAAGAATTTAGATCTTGTTTCTCATACTGAGTGCGGTAGATTTGCACCCTGATTTCGGCGTACAGAAGCTCTGTCTTACTTTTCTGATTCTAGCTTTGACATCCTGATCTGTGATATTTTCAGATGGTCTTTTTAAAAATAATTGGTTGTAATTAACATTGACGTGTGTACTACTCAGAAGTTCCCTTCGAGTAATTTTGATTTGGTATAAATTGAAGGATAAATGAGTTTCTTAAGAATAGTCCATACATCGTCTTGCTTGAATATTAGCAAGCACAAAACTTAGGTCAGCCATCACTTTCTCTTCAATGTGACCAATATAACATCTGTGACCGAAAGTATGAAATTACACTAAGATGTAATCTTGTTATGTAACGCTTCACTTAGTGACTACATTACATGTGTTTGAGCGATATATTCCGATTCAAGCACACATACATACACATACATGTCATCTAGATTATCGTCCTATGACCGATCAGTATAAATGCTCTAATCCTAACCAATGAAACCAACTGATAGCTTTAACTGTTTTGGTGTATCCATTAGCAACACTTTTATATCGTGATGTAAACACAGGTGAAAGATATCACAGTTCAAATGATTACATGTCCTATGATTGTTGTATTTTATGTGAATATGATGTTCAAATAGATTTATCTTCCCAGTGTTGTTGTGTTGTTAGAATCCAGTTATCCAGTGATACCGGGCCATGGTTGATGAATTTGGAGAGATATACAAAATTGGGACCTATTGGCAGCAAGTTGAGTACCTAAGTCAATGTAGCCAATATCTCCGCAAAGGAAGGGGGAAACAAAGATAACTACACCCATCGTATTACGCTTATGTTGGTTTCATGGTTTTGCTTCCATTAGTTTGTTATTAAACAGTCTCACCTAATATGAAGACTCTATAGTTTCACTAATTATAGTCGTATAGTCTAGAGATTCAATCATCGCTTTTAGAATATAACGAGGATATGACTCTTTGGCTTAAGCACTTTTGACTTATAGGCTGCAGGTTCGAATCGCTCTCCTTCTTCTTCAACCTGGATACACCTAGATAGTATTGTAACAGCAAAATGCAAGACACGGAAGCCAAGGCATATTTTCAAGTGATCGAACTGCTATTTATATGTATGCCGTTTCTGTATTCTCTCCCCAATCATTGAGCGTGTAATTTTGTCTTACATTAAACGACATGAATTATAATTTTGCAATACATAGTATTCTGCTGCCAACGGCTGTATTGAATTGTGGGAATCTGTGACAATAATATTCCATTGGCCCATATTGTCCTGTATATCACACCACTAACAGTATCATAAGACATTAAAAAGCAGGTGGGGTTCATAGCTGCGTACCTGGTAAGTAAATTCTAAATAAACTGAGAACCTAAGGAGTATTGGATAGCCTATTTTAGCTTAGCATCACAAATCCATGATCTCATCGGACATCGACTTCCTGACCCCCACAGCGAACGCCTTATTCAGTCATCAGTTTGGCATTCTGTGATTCATGTTTTCGAATTATGATGTGTAATTTTATGCATATATTTAAGATACTGTGTTTATTATTATCTTAAATGTCACTCACTCAAAATCCGTTTCTTTTACAGGAAATCTGAAAAATTGACACAAATAAATCATGACCTAAGATCGCCTAACGAACATAATAAAATTCCTCCTGAATTGTGTCATTCAGTAACTCGTAAGTGTGTTAATTAAAATTATTTTATTATCAAAAGGTTAGAAATATTAGATCTGTCTGGATTCAACATACAACTTGACACCGAAGTGCAACAGTTCGAGTTATCACGTTCCAAAATAGCACACAAAGGTAGACAAGAAGATGAGTGAAGAGAATCAATAGAGTTTGACAAGTATTAGAGTGAAACAGAATGGGTAATGGTAGAAAGGAATATGAAAGATCAGAGAGACTGAATGCATCTGAACTGGCCATTGACAACGATTTTGAGCCTTGTCACCTATTGTCTCCAGTCATCGATTCTTAGAGGAGTCCCGAGGGTCCCAACCCGGAAGTCTTCATCTCCCTACCTGACCGACTCAGTTTAACTACTGTCAAGGATTTCATGGATTGATGAGGCCATGTTTTTGTTTGGCCACCACTTACTCTTTTCCAACCTTCACCACCTACATCAGCTAGTAATGCCCGTCGGGAGAGGCGATAGTTGGGCATGTGCACCACGTGACCTGGCCATCTCAATCTATGTAACTTTATAGCCTCGTCGATTGATTTTCCCTGTTTGCCCTACACTCTACGCCTAACGTCAACATTACTTACCTTATTATACCACCTAACGTGAGAAAGAGATCGCAGACATCTATGATCAGAAACGGTGAACCTTTTCATGTCTTCAACTCATATTGGCCATGTTTCAGAGCCATAGAGAAGGAAGGAGCGAACTGATGAGCAGTACACACGCCCCTTGGTTGATAGCCGGATGTCACGCATACGCCAGAGATGGTGTAAGTTAGGGAAAGCAGCTCGAGCTTTTTAGATCCGTGCTGAGATTTCGTCGCCAATCAATCCGTTGGTACTGATACAACTTCCCAAATAGGTGAAGTGGTCAACATGTTCTATCACTTCACTCCCTACCACTAAGTAAGAAGTTGACGTGGTCCAGTCCTGTAGTAGCATCTTACATTTTACGGGGGCAAATCGCATGCCAAACATAGGAAGATTGCTGTTCAAGGTGTTCAGAAGACTTTGCATTTTGTCCGCATCCTCTCCTAATATTTCTTATTAGATCACTACAAAGTAACTAATTGTCATGTGTGTATCGATGCCGATATTGAATTCTATCAGTTAAAGGTTTGCGATATTATAGTAGTCATCTGGCTAAATGAATGACTGTCATGATGTACTTTGATTGCTTGGAGTCAGTGAACTAGAGGCCTTGGACCAAGTTTTTGTGTTTGCTGGCATTCCTCAGGACAGTGCATCTGCAACCTTGAGGGAACTAATTTCTCCACCTCCTCTAGAGCAACAATGGATACATTGATTGGATGGTAGTAAGTAATCAATATTGTATTTCGTCTTTAGTGCTGTCTGAATGTGGTCACAAACTTAAGTGACTAGACAATTACATTGCCCTGTGAATTGATTTTAGATGTATTGTGGGTTCAGGGCTTTCTATCGATGGCCTTCAACCATGTAATACCATAGTCCGTTGTATTGTAAAACTTCATAAAATATTGTTCCACTTATTAAGTTTATCCTTAAGAGTAAGTAAGTAATTAACAACAAGTTAATAATGATTAATTTTCGGTTGGTCCATCATAATGTGAACTATGTGACAATTTATCACTTAGAAGCCAATTAAGCTGGTTGATAGTAGTAGTAATAATAATAATAATCTCGGTAAAGCGTTTGGATTTAACTTCATCCACAAAAAGCCTATGAAACTATACTATCTTACCCAGACCCCGAGTCAATAAGAACAAAATGTAGTGTCAGCAACCTGTCGCAATAACGTTTATAAAAGTCTTTATCGATATCTTTCAACATATGCATTACTTTGGAATTACACTGTGTGCGCTTTAATTGGTGACACTTGATACCTAGTCGATAGACTTCGACCACCAGTTAGAATTAAACAGCTACATTAATTAATATTTTTTTATTATTTCATCGGTTTCGTCATCGGTAGTAAAGTGGAGCTGTTGCCCTGTGGTCTAAACATTCAACTTCTAGTCACCGATTTACGGATTCAAACTAATAATAATAATAACAGCTTTATTCTAAACAGTATTTGTGGTACAGGTATGGAATTTTTCAGCGTGCATTACAGTACGATGCATCTAATTACCTCATAAATTTTAAAAGATTTTTGAAATCAAAATAAATAAATAAAAAGAAAATCAACGCCAAAAAAAAATAAAAGATGAATAAAAATTTAAAAAAAACAGCGTAGCGTTCAAACAATGCACCACAGGATATGAAATATAATGTTGATGTGTGATAGATGAGAACAACAGTATAATAGTAACGAGGAAAGGAAAACAAAGACTGATGGGACTATTTGCTAGAGTGCCGCAGTAAATTTATCGTGTCATACCTAACGGATTTCTCATCACATAACAGCTGTGCCAGATATGGTATTGTGGAGTTTTTGTATTTGGTAGTCCTAGCATATAGCCTCCTATAGCTACTTCTAGTTCTACTAGATGAAATGCAAGGAGACAGCTGCGTATAGAGAGTATTCTCGGGGTCTGACAATATTGTATTCGCTAGTTTCTTACATGACATAGTGTTAACCAGTTGGTTTAACGATATCCCACTTGCCCTACTAACGGCTTTTAGTGCCTGCCCTTCTCAGCAAAGCAAAGTCTTTCTTAAGTAGTCCAGGAAAGATTAATGGGGAGCAGTAAATAGGGATGGGTAGACTACAAGAATCTGCAAACTGAGAAAGCAATGACTGCTTTATGCCAGACTACCTAAATTTCCTAACGTAGAACGTTAAGCGAAACATCTTTCTAGTAACTAACTAGCAAGATGTGGGAGGACCAGAAAAGATCGGTGGAAGTTACTTGACATTAGATGTATTTTCAACCTCTGTGCCGTCAGTGATAGTGGGGCCATGTGAGCTAACTAGTTGATGTAGGTCACATTTACGTCTGAAAGTGAAATTGACTACCTGACATTTAGACGGATTAAGCTTAAGTATGTTTGAAGAGGACCACTGACTAATTTCCGACAGAAAGTTATTTAATTTGGTTCTTTCATTTCATTATGTAGATGCACTATTAATTTATGTTGAATACTATCTTTCAGTAATGTATTCTTCTACTTATTCAAAATTCATGTAAACACATACATATATAGCCACATTGAATGGAGAGATCAATACTATTAAAAATGGCACACCACTGCCTCTTACACAAGATGTTGGTACATTAACCGACTGTACGCCATCGACATCTTCACCGTCGTCAACACAACCATGTTGTTCAGATTGTTGTAAACAAAAGAAGTTTTTAGAGGAGATTTTTTTACACTTCAATTTATGTCTACAAGATCAGGCTGCGCTCATTGAACTACAATCAAAATATATGTTATCTCTGGTAAACGAAGTAAGTTACATTGATTGATTAATGTTAATTTAGTTAGTTTAGAACAGAACTACCCGGAACATATCCTCCCCCAGATTGCCATGTTATGAAGTCACACTTACTGTGAGATGACTAATTGATAAATACTATTCTCTTGTCCCTTCACTCCCCCAGGCTAAAGTAGGCAAAGCCTTATGTGAAGCCGGGACTGAATTGTCTGAATGTCAAGTGTTGCAGCCAGTGAAAAATATCTGCAAATGACTTACTCAGTCAAACCATATTCGGAGTAGTTATCATTATTTTTTATTCCATGAGTTTTTAGTGGAACATTGGGCATATATATGTCTGTTACGCTTTGTTCTCTGTCATAACTTTCAACCCACCCCATGACTGACTACCCACCAACTTTTCCGCCTTTTCCTATGATCTCCACCCGTGTCCTTCGGACGCTCAACTTGTTTGCTAACTATTCGAGTTCCAATCCAGGACTAGGTGTGTGTCCTGTTCCATCAGCGCATATATATGTCTAGTCCATCACCATTTCCCCCTGTATATATTTTGAGTCATAAATAGATTGTTGGCTGCTTCGTTACTTGTCAGAATTCCTCTGTGGGTAGCAAATTCCTGGGGAAATATTGCTCTTAATACATCTAATCCTACTCCGAAAATATGGTGGGGATATGTGGATGACACTTTCACAGTGTTAAAAACGGAATATGTCTCTAGCTTCTTGATGTGTATAAACTTACTAGTAAAGGGAATAAAATTCACATTTGAATCGGAAAATGAACAAGGAGAATTAGCTATGTTAGACTGTAAAATAAAATGAACAAAAGAAGGTAAACTTTACACTAGCGTTTATAAAAAGCCAACATATTCTAGTAGATATTTAGACTTCATTTCATCTCATCCGTTATATCTATCTGTATGGGCAAGCTTAGTTAAGTGTCTAACAAACCGAGCAGTTGAACTAACACACATACATACATACAAACACACAATAGGGTAGTCAAGGCCTCAAATTCTAACAGTTAAGTGGAGAGAGAGAGAGAGATTGATTACTGCATCTTTGTTCATAGAGTCTACACCCAAGACGTGCAATAGGAATAACTCATCACTAACACCAGAGATATGGAAAAAAACCTACTACCAATCAAATCAAGCGATGAAAAATAATGGAATTCTATAAACGAAGCTAGAAAGTTGTGTGATTATGAGCAATAAATTGTCCTCGAAACATCATCAGTAAATATTACTGTATAACACTGTGAGACTTTATCAAAATAAATTTTACCCATAATGGAAGTATACTCTACCACAGTGCACAAGTTCTCTTTTTATAGCAACTTGTCAGAAGGGCCATTTGATGTGGTCTTAATTACGGAGCAAAGGAAGCATGTGTTGATGAGATTCTGTAGTAGCCTGTTGGAAAATCTTTTAATGAAATTTGCACCACGTCTGTTAACTATATAAAAAGGATCATAGGCTTCCCGAATGAATGCTGTAGAGAATATCATATAAAATCCGTTTTGGAGGCTCATGGACGCACTCATCGTTTCTTGTTCCACTATCTAACTTATTAAATCTGTCTCCTCATATCTGTTGTTAGTAATTCATGTTTTCAAGCATTCGTATTTTCTCAAATGGTCTACGGTTGACCTTCGAGGACCAATCACATTTAGGGAAAGCCACGGAAGGTCATTCCAAATCAAATTATGCCTGTCTTTATGGGTTTGATGAGGGTAGGTACAGTATTCTACTCATTCCTTAGGAACTTTTTTCAGTAAATCTATACTGTTTGGTAGGGTTAGGATTGAGGATTTTAGCATTAGTCAGACGTAGGGGTAGGTTAAAGAACAGTGTCACGAATGTCAGCGGATCGTGAAGTATCAGTCACCTGGATGAATACATCCATCGCGCATGGTACAGTTTCTCTGTGGATTATTCCCGGAGTTACTGTGGTACATTCTTTCAACACATCAGAGACAATTATCCAGTATAATATCATGTTTGCAATGTTTATTATTTCGTTTTTTGTCGCATCGGAATTCTGATTGGTTGCCCAGGGTCACGGAGATTTTAACCACGATAGTCTAACTCCGCCCCTCAAACTTTGTTTTGTTTTTCGTGTTTATTTGCACGAATAATATGCGCTGCATCACCTTCAATGTGATATTATTGCTTTTTTGTCCTAGAGATTTTGTCCGCCTTCTTAAGCTGCTACATCGACGTGGTGGTCGGGACTACGTATCCCAATGACCCAATGAGCTACACTGGGTTTAAATAATGTCCCTGCCATCCTAGAAAGTTTCTTTTGGATGACGGTTAGACTAAAAGCAGTTATGATCACAATGTACGCCGTTTATATTATTTGTTGTGTGGCTTGAGGACGAAGTCGTACTGTTCGCGAATAGGGGTTCAACAGCAGTAAGGTATTTCCCTTGGGTGACCAGTGAGCTAGCTATCCTTCCTTCTCAGCTCTGGAGATGGGGAGGGGTAAGTTGGAAAAGGTCTTTTCCAAAAACTTTACATCCCGACTTTCTTTGCGGCGGTTCGTATCAGGCAGTAAGATCTTCATATATGAACACATCTCTAAAAACCACTTCAACCAGGTCGCGTCAATCAGTTGTTCCTCTAGGCATTGCGGTCATGAAAAACCAATGCTGTTTCTGTTTCGGGTACTCTTAGAAGTAATCAACTTCTAAGGTGTGTTACACATAAAACTTTTGCATGCTACGTGGAGTCCGGCAACTGGAACTGGTGCACTTCTGTGTTGAAACTCACTCAGGCAGGCAGCTTAATCACTCGATTTTTAACCAACTGGTTCGAATCTCGCTGCGCCTCCTTTAGCCTGATGAGCCATTGGGTTATATTGTCAGTCCTCATACAGTAAATATCTGTGTGTGTGTATCGGTTTAACCTTTACTCTGGAATTTGAAAAGAAATCTGATATAGGTAATAAGATTTAAATTTTGTCTTTATATCTCTAATACTGTAATCACATTTGTCTATATACCTTCTGATGACGAATGTTATTAATATTATTATTATTATTACTTCAGATTTGTGAATTAAAATCCTGGAAAGAGTCAGTTATGGGAGCAATATCAACATCTATTCATCAATCAGCTAACTTTCCTCCTAATTCTGGTCAAACTGATAATGATAATTTTACTAGTCAAAACCCGTTAACTTATCAGTCATTAGATGAATGTTCATCGAATACGCTGAATTGTGCTGTTGTTTCCTCCACAACCATACCAATTGAAGAGAATGGAGAAGCAGGAAATATTGAAGGAATTATCACAAATGATATGGAAAGTGATCTACAAACCCATGTACACATAGATACACATGAAGAAAATCACATTATAAGTAATTATTCTAGGTATGTGGTGTTTTCTTTTATAACTTGTGATTTTCATAAGAAGTGCACGACTTTCCAGAAGTATTGTTGATTGTCTTTTTGAATAGAGTTGTGGCTTTTTTGTTTGTTACGTTTCGAGAGGAGCATAGGGCTTCTGTACACGGAGTACGGTTGCTAGCCTCATGTCCTGTCTTCCCTCTTTTCTTGACTTACTACTAACTAGTAGTTTAGGCGAGGTGCTGCTAGTCGTGTGTCAACCTGGATTCGAACTTGTATCCTCATAGTGGCTGCTAAGCTTCCCACCACAGGACCATTATGGCTCCTGTCCTTAACTATAAGATAGTACTGTCATCTTCGAAAGAAAGAGGGCAAGGTCACTCATTTATTTCACGCTAAATCACGTAGTGGGGACATCACTTAGAGAACCAGGAAGTACTGAACAGCAGCTTTTTCGTCATGGTTTAGAACTTGTCAGCAGTACTTACGCATGATTTCATTTGAGATTGCACCCAGGCGATTTAAGTCACGAAGAAAGCGCGTCCACTATTCAGTCATTGGCGCACAGAATCCAATGGTGCATTTATTTGAACATCTGTCCATTTGCCGTGTATAGCGCCACTAACAGTCTATGCCATTCGAAAGTATCTGTTCACACACCCAATAAACTTTGTGGATCACAATGGTCCTGACTACTCAATACTGTAATCAATCACTACTGTCCAGGAGATTTACTTCCGTAGTCGTCTCTTTATGTAACCTTGTGGTCTTGGGTTCAACTACCCATCTGGACATTGATGTGTACTCCTGAAGAGTCAGTGACACAGCGGTTAGGACTCTTTCCGACCATGCACATGGTCCGAGGTTCGATCCCCTTCCGACGCACGCCTGATATCAATGGTCGGAATGCGAAATTCGGGCTATTGTGCAATTAGGGGTTAGAAATGTAGAAATAACAAAAATAGACAGGATGTGTAGATCTAATGGGATCATAACTAATGTGACGAATACTTGTTCATGCAATCAGGGATTAAATATGTAGAAATAATAAAATAACAAAATTGACAGGAAGTTTGGATATGAAAATATGGTAGTGTAAATAGGGATTAAGAAAAACTTAAAATAACATTAGTAAACAGGAAGTTTGGATAAGAAAGTCAGTGGGATAGTAACTATTAGAAGAATCACATGTTTATGATGGCCACGGCAGGGACAAGGATTGAACGTATTTCTTTTGGATACATAGCGTGGGTTTGGGCTTTTGGATGGATAGTGCCTCGGTTGTGCCCAGATGTCTTAAAAGCTCATACCCACCCTATGTATCCAAAAGAAATACGTTCAACTCTTGTCCCTGCCATGGCCATCATAAACATGTGATTCTTCTAATAGTGACTATCTTGTGGTCTTTCTTATCCAAGCTTCCCGTTTATTCATGCTATTTTATTATTTCTACATATTTAATCCCTGATTGCATAAACAATTATTCGTCACATTAATTATGATTCCACTAGATTTTTTTATCCAAACATCTTGTCTATTGTTGTCATTACTACATTTCTAACCCCTAATTGCACAATATGTCAATCTTCTCAGTAATTATGATGCTACTTTGTCTGAGCTTTATCTGTCCTCCTGTTTACTATGGCATTTTAATTCCTAATTGTAATTCTATTTATCTAACCTTTACTCTGGAACTTTCCTACCCATTTATTATAAATACATGAATGTACAACTACCTAGTTGATGATTTCATCGAAAAGAAAATCTTCGCTGAAACTGTCTTTTTATTCCCTATGATCAAATGTTACGCCATCTCTGGCGTAGGTGTGACATACGGCTATCAACCAAGGGGCGTGTGTACTGCTCATCAGATCGCTCCTTCCTTCTCTATGGCTCTGAAACATGGCCAATATGAGTTGAAG